CAGGGGATCTTCGGGTCCAGGGTGGGTCATGCAGTTCCAGGCATCAGCTGAATAATCAACACGATCTACGCAGGTGGTGTCCTGGAGTGTGGAGAACATTCCAGGGAGAAAACTAGGATGCAGAAGCTGATTCTGTGTGAAATAATCCAGGTATTAGTAAATGTCACACCCTTTCTTCCGGTCAGAACCGACAGCCTTTCCCACTTCCTGCCCTCTCCCTCCGCGCTGGTATGACTGCTGTCCGTGGTGCTGAAGTCTATTCCTGTAGGGACACCCATCCACTGCCTCTCTCTGGATAACGTTTTCTCATTGTTTCCCTGGACTTCCTTTCATCAATTAAGGTGGCTCTTCCTCGTCACCTTGGCCTACTTCACAACACAATAATACAAAATATCACCAGGTGCCCTAGTTAATCAAAAGACATATTTCTTACTTTTAATATTGGCAACTCAGTCACATGTATAAAACACTTTATAAGCTAAACCAAATATGTCTGTGAGCTGAATATAATATGGAGGGTCACAGATTTGGGACTTCTGTGCTAAGTGAGAGCCTAGATATATTGTCAGAAACACTTGAGATGCCCTAGACCTTTCAACGTTTTGCAACTGCCAGCCAATTAGAGAGAGCTGCACTGTCCAATAGGGTAGCCACTAGTCACGCATGGATATCAGCATTTGAAATGCAGCTAGTCCACACTGAAATATGCTGTAGGTATAAAATACGCATCAGACCAAAGACTTACTGCAAAAATAATATGTAAAATATTTTATTACTTTTATATTGATTCCATGTTAAAATGATAATATTTTGGATATGGTGGGTAAATATAAACCAGTAAGGTTAATATAATCTGTTTCTTTTTCCTTTCAAAGATGGCTTCGCTAGAAAATTCAAAATTACATGTGTGTCTCCTGTTATATTTCCATTGGATAACAATAGTTTAGAGTATGACATAACTCAGCTAATTAACTCAAGGACATAGATTCCATTATGGTGTTGGCCACTTAATTTTTTATGTCCCCGTCATGCACTGTACCTTATTACAGCTCGATTCATCACATGTGACCTTGTTCTCACAAAGCATGTGTACAGCGCAGCTTATTACATGCTTATCCTTACTCCTCAGAGGAGGATACATCTATCCCCCATGACTCTTATGGGCAGTCACCCAAAGCTTCTCCCCATTGCCCAGAGCATCAGACCCTTTCCTGCTTCTGTGTACTTGCACATGCTGTATCCTCTGCTTATAATGTCTTTTTCCACCAAAAGAGTCTTTATCGTTTTTCAACACCCAGTTTAAATCTTGCCTGTTCTGCAAAGACTCCTGGAAGTCTCCTGGTGAGGCTACTGGGTCTTGCCTGTCTACTTCCATAGAACCTCAACTGATCACCTCAGTGCACAAGAAATTGCCTATTTATTTGTTTTATCTCTTGCTAGGCTGGGGGATCTTGAGATCAGGGACCATGTGTGATTCATTTTTGTAATCCTGGAACTTAGGATAAAACAGGGAATAAGATGAAGTCCCTGACTTCATGAGGTGTACATTCTTTTGGGAGGGGAAGAGAAAAGATACAGATAATATAGTAGGAAGTAAGATAATAATGACTGTTATGAGGAAAAATAAAACAGGGAAGAGAGTGGTGGATGTGCCATTTTTGAGAGACTTGAGATGGTGACACCTGAGCAGAGTGTATTCAGCACAGAATTGTTGCAAATACATACATGATAAATGAATGAATAATGACATCTCCTTTTATAGAAACTCCCTTCCTTTTATCTGCCAGATATCACTCTTGTAAAGATGTCTCCTAAAACTGAGCTCCCTGCACACTCCAACCCACGTCAACCTCCTTTCTTTACTTCAAAAAGGCAAGTTCCTTCATTCCTGCTTCAGGGACTTTGCACGTGTTCATCCTCTTGCTTGTGATACTTTTCTCCTGGGTCTTGGTACAACTCCTACTGCCTGATCATTCAGGGCTCAGCCGAAATATCTGTTCCCCAAAGAGCCTCTGTCTGACTATATTAATTTGATGCCTCTCTCTGTCCCCACCTCAGTTACTGTTGTCCACATCCTCCTGCTTTGTTTTCTTCTGAATACCCACCATCCCCTGGAAGTTAGTTGACTATATATTTATTTCTTTGTTCGCTGTTAGTATTCCCAACTAGAATACAAGCTCCAGGAAATCAGATTCCTTGTCCATCTCCTTCACTGCTGTATTCCTAACATGTAGAATAGTGTCTAGCATATAGTAGAGGCTTAACTACAATTTAATAAATGAATGAGTAACACACTTATAATGACCCTAAAGGCCAAAGGTCATCACTAAGGAATGGAAACATGCTCTGGTTTCTCACCGGATTGGTACACACATAGCTCCTTCACTTTGGGGACATTTAGATGGTGACTTGGTACTTTTCCTGCAGCAGGACCAGATCTAGAATGCAAAACAGATACCTCAGACAGTGGGGGTGGGGGAGGATCAGAGAGACCAGGGAGGTTTCCCCCTTGGAGCAGCACTAGGAGCAGAATGGGGAGGGGAAATGAGCCCAAGCTGTGGAGACGGAAGTCTGAGGCTGGAAGCTCTGATTTGCTGCTGGCTGTCTTGAATGATTTCGTGGACAGTTCTGGATACTGCATGGATACTGCATGGATAACCATGCAGTATACTGACTACCAGTGTGAGCTCTATAGCTGGAGGATGTGGGTTCACTCTGGCTCCGACACTTTCTTCCATGGAAATATGGGCAAACATTTTGATCTTCCTTTGTTTCTATTTCCTTATCTTTAAAATGCAGATAGTGATAATACCTAGTTCATGGAGTTGTGTGGACTGATCAAGTTAATATATGTAAAGTCCACAAAGAGTCTGGCACATAGTAAAGCACCTAATATGCATTTAGATTTAATTGTTATTATTTTTTGCTAAGCAATCTTGGATAAATTGCTTAAAGTTCTTGGATCTTGGTTTCCTTATCTATAGATTAGGAACAACCACTTCCTTCCAAGCTAATCACTTAAGAGCTCCTACATTGGAATGAGACAGTGGAGAAAGGTGCCATTACTGCAGCTGGAGTCTCATTTCATCTGGTCATCTCTCTGGAGCGATGGCCCAATAGCAAAGTGAAGGTGTTGGTTGAGCTGTCCCATTCATTTGCATGGGCCTGGGATCACAAGCTTTGGGAATTTTTAGGCTCATCCAGATTAGTTGCCTCAAGCTTCCTACCTCATAAGTAGTGAGTTCTGGCCAGGCGCGGTGGCTCACACCTGTAATCCCAGCACTTTGGGAGGCCAAGGTGGGTGGGTCACTTGAGGTCAGGAGTTAAAGACCAGCCTGGCCAGTACAGTGAAACTCCGTCTCTACTAAAGATACAAAAATTAGCCAGGTGTGGTGATGCATGCCTGTAATCCCAGCTACTTGGGAGGCTGAGGCAGGAAAATTACTTGAACTCTGGAGGCAGAGGCTGCAGTGAGCTGAGATTGCACCACTGCACTCCAGCCTGGAGAACAGAGCAAAACTCCATTTCAAAAAGAAAGAAAGAAAAAAAAAAAAGTAGTGAGTTCCCAGTCAATGAAGGTATATAAGCAGAGGTCAGAAAATTGCTTGCTGAGAGAGCCACTCGAGAGAACTTTAGAAACTCCGGCATCTAGCACTTGGCAGGACTAGTGAATATTCAGTGAATGAAGGCATATACCTTTCAATTCAGCTTTTGTTTTGTTTTGTTTTTTTGTTTTTTTGTTTTGGTGGGGGAGGTTTGGAGTCCTGATGAGGGCCTGAGGTGCTGAGATTCAATCTTGCATTTTTTGCTTTGAATTCTAGCAGATCTGAAAACTTTGGATGCTTGAGGTAGAGACATCTGAAAGGAGGCAGTCTTTGTCTCGGCTGAAACCAGACCAATTTCCTGCCCCTCAATCAACGTCATACAATTTTAGAGGAGAATAAAGGGAGAATTGGGCAGATTTTCTCCCCTGGAGAAGCCTTCATTCATATCTTAGCTGCTCTAGGCTGAGGACAAGAAGAGAATTGAAACAAGCATGTCCTTAGCTAAAGGTGCACATTCAATTGCTAGTGCAGGCACAGTGCTTCATGTTGACACACTGGGCCCCCTCAGTAAATGTCAGCTGAGTTTATTAAGGTTGTGATTATTAGGGACCATTCTACTTCAGCAGGAAAGAGATTTTTGGTCTAGAAGTGCCAGGGTGAGGTAAGGGGAAATGAGATACAAAGGGTGACAGAGGGGTCTGAGCTTTCTTCTGGAATGTTCCTGTCCCTTCCCACCTCCAGCACTTACTAATCAATTCTTTAACCACATGCTGCTCCAGGTTGTAGAGCCATTTATTAATCACAGGACACACCTGAAAGACAAGGAAATAGGCAAAAGTCAGGAGGAGGGCTCCGTTAATAAAGCCTAAATTAGAGTGAGCAAGGCAAGTTCTCCTAAGCCAACCCATTCTGGGGACAACCAAGTAGATGGGTTTTGGGGACAGGCTACCCTAGGGTCACAAGCCAGCTCAGGCTGCCCTAGGGTCACAAGCCAGCTCAGCCACTTGGCAGCTGTATGACTTGAGTAAGTCATTGGCCCTGCCTGGGACTGTTTCTTAAATCTGGAAAATGAAGATGATATTGTTACCTGGAGTATGAGATTGTTTGGAGATGAGATAAGAAAATTCGGATACTTAGCATAGTGTTTGAGTGCTTAGTGAATGTTAATTTTGTGATTACTTATCCCCATTTTACGGATAAGGAAACTGAGTTTGGAGAGAATTATCAACTCACTTCTGGTCACACGGATGCTGATTTTGACCTGAAGAATTAAAGAATGTCTGTAAAACACTTCACCAGTGCCCGATTGCAGAATGGGAGCTTAATAGACGCCACTCCATCTCTCCCTAGCTCTCCTTCCTGGAAGATTTCCTCCCACTTCGTTAAGAAGATCCAATCCCTTGTTATCTGAGTCTCAGCTCAAAAACGGAAGTAATCTGGGTTTGCATACTTACCTTTTGTCCCAGATCATGGGCTACTATGTTTTTCAGGTTTCTCTCTATGTTTGCCACAACAAATTTTGCTGCTGGGGCGAGTCTAAATGAAGAGGCAGAAAATACGCAGAACAGATTAACTTCTCTAGGATTCCTTTCTCCACATCACTTCTTTGCTCAATGACCGTGAACTTCTTCAAGTCTACTCCTTGTTTCCATGGCATTGAATCACCCAGCCATGTCCTACTGCTCCAGTCCACACTCTAGGGCTCCTTAAAATTAATCTTCCAATTTAAGTCACCTTGCCCTTATCATTGTTACCCACTGTTATCTTCTCTGTGACTATTTTGCATCTCCCACTGGAGATGCCTTCTTCAAATTCTTGTTAGGCCCAGCCAACTGGTTTCCTTCAGAAAGCTCTTCCTGACCATCCTGGCTAATTCTGAGTTCTCTCTTTCCTTCTCACTTTCTCATTTCTCTGATTACCTGATGCTACAGCGGAACTTATCTCTTCTGCCAGAGGGCCAGTGCTTTCATGGAAGGAACAGTATAACATCGTTCTTTAATTGGGAGACAGGAGAAAGAAGCAGGAAATAGCATAAAGGTGTCCTTGTGTTCTGTGTTCCTGACTCAGTCCCTAATCATTAACATGTGAAGATAAATCTGTCCTATTCTCAGGCAAAGGGTTTATGTCTTTATTTTTTAAAGAGTGTGTATAGAAATCAGCTATGATCTACTGCTTCCAACCTTAGGTCTCAGATTCCTCACAAAGGAGGGCCATGTTTTCTTTAGCATATCACAGGAGAGAGAGGTATTCGCAGAGTTTTCAGAAGGGGAGATGGGTTGTGAATCTGGCCTGGTTCTCATTTATGTCTGAGCATGTCAGGAGGACAGGACCAGGTGTGCAAGGGTGCAGAAAGCATTCCACACCCAGAGCTTTCCTGAAACAGCGAGCAACTGAGATGAATCAAAATCGAGAATTCGTGAAAGAAGAAAACAAGATAGAAAATGGACTGGTGATGACCACTGGATTCAGCTAAATGTGGATATCAGCCTTAATTTAAACAAACACACACACAAACAAACAAACTTTAAAAAGGGCTAGATGTGGTGGCTCATGCCTGTAATCCCAGCACTTTGAGAGGCTGAGGCAGGTAGATCACTTGGGTGCCGGAGTTTGAGACCAGCCTGGGAGACATGGTGAAACTCTGTCTCTACAAAAAACACAAAAATTAGCCAGGCATGTTGGCCTGCGCCTGTAATCTCAGCTACTCAGGAGGCCTAGATGGGAGGATCGCCTGAGCTGGGGAGGCGGAGCTTGCAGTGAGCCAAGATTGTACCACCATTGCACTTAAGCCTGGGCAACTGAGTGAGACCCCATTTCAAAAAAATATTTAAAAAGAAGACTTTTGAAAAAGGATTATAAATTTAGAAGTAAACACTAAAACTCTACTTAATAAAAGAGCAAAATCTCTGAAGACAGTTTCTCTGAAGAGGAAATATCAGAGACTAAGAAATGATGAAATCTTTTTCTACTGGTAGTCAAAGTAATGAAAATAATAGCATTTGTGGGATTTTCCTCCTAGTGAAAAGAAGATCTTGTCTTAACGTAGCTCAGAATAATCATATTCAGCACTTTTCCCAGCACCAAGCAGGCTCAAATAAATGAGTAAGAATGAGAGCCATCTATAGCAGATGCTTGGGGAAGGTATGTATGTATAAAAGAATAAATGTTGTGAAAAAGAGAATAACTGGGATTTATTGTATATGGGACAAAACTGCCCAGTATCAGCTAGAGACATGCCACTTGGTTCAGTTCCATTGGTAAGGTATTTGGTGAGCGATTTGGCAGTGCTGAAAACTTACAAGTTGTAGAACTGTGTATACTTTTGGAATAATCTTAAAAATCTACAATAAGAAAATAATTCTATTTTTGGAACATTTTCCTATATCAAAATGTTCTGGGCTATTTATGATAGCAAAATGTTTATCTTTTAAATTAATTTAATGTTTTCGAGACAGGGTCTTGCTTGTTGCCCCAGCTGGAGTGCAGTGGCATGCTTATGACTCGCTGCCACCTCAACCTCCTGGGCTCAAGTGATCCTCCCACCTCAGCCTCCCTAGTAGCTGGGACTATAGGCGCCTGCCACCACACGTGGCTAATTTTTACATTTTTTGTATAGACAGGGTTTTGCTGTGTTGCCCAGGCTGGTCTTGAACTCCTGGGCTCAAGCTGTCTACCTGCCTTGGCCTCCCAAAGTGCTGAGATTACAGGCATGAGCCACCTCACTAGGCCCAAAAAGTTTAGAAATAACCTATCAACAAATGGCCAAGCAATCCTTTTTTTTTTTTTTGCTCAGTCCTATTTGGTAAGTCTCTTTTCATGTTGATAGAATTGTTACTTTTGTAAAAAACAAAATTTTAAAGGCACAGAAAGTCCTATTTATTATACCCACATCACCATACACACAAAAGCCTAATTTTGTAGGGTATTGTTTTTCTAGTGACATCTTTCAGGTGAAATCTCACTGGGAACATCATCATAACCAGCTGGACACAGAGAAAGACAGATGGAGAACTCACTGGGCTCCAGTTTGGATCCAGATAGCCTCAGGCAAGAGTCTGCAGTTCCCAAAGGCAAGTTCATATCTGCCACCTACATTCTTCTCCAAACGAATCTGGACTTTTATATCTGACCGCATATTAGCTGTGAAGGGCTTCAAGGTCAGGAGCCTGTGGGAGGGAAGAGGAAAGGCAGATGGGAGAGAAGCTCAGAGCTCACTACATCCCCATTTATTTCTAGAACGAGGTTCCCCATGTTGCCACAGAATCTTCAAAACCACCCTGTTAAGGTCATTTTCTCATTTTTCAAAAGAGGCCATTCAGTCCTGGAGAATGGGAATGGCTTTCTCCAAGTCATGCATCCAGCCAGTAGCTAAGTCAGAGGGTTCTGCACTCAGGGAACCTAATACTTGCTACCTCTGGCTCTGGGGACAGTTAGGAAGGAAAATCTTGATTCTAAGTACGGCATCTTATCAAAACTAGAAAACTGCATCTGACCTTGGAAAGTCCTTTTCTAGAGGTCTCAGAATCCATCGCCTTGATGACCAGGCTTGAAATGGCAATGAATGAAGTAGACCGGCAGTTAGTTTCACAGGGAGAGGTAAAGGCTGTGGTGAACTGGAGAATGCCTGGACTCTGCAGAGGCACCATGCAAACCAGACAAAATTTATCAGTGGGCCAGATGCATCTCCTGGGGTGATCTCCAGGCAATAGTGTCACAGAATTGGGGTCCAGAGGTGATTCAGTGTTCTTGTCTTCAGTTACATTCAATCAGAACTAAGCAGACTCATGAAGTTCAAATAAATGAAGGTGGGGGCTGTCTGGAAGAGGTAGGGGGAGGAAATCTGCTCAAC